AAAAAAAAATCATCCTTTATGCTTCTCATTTTTACGCTGGGCTTTTTCTCAACATGCAAACTTGAACCTTCTGCTTCTTTTTGAATATTGAGTAACATATATGTTAAGCAACGTTCTTGTAAGATGAAGTTTGGTGGAAAAACAAGGGGGTGAACAACACGATAGGTACGCTGAAGTCTGGGGTAAGGCGAGCTCTGCTGTTTTCACACAAGGCCCATCCCTGTCGCCTTGTTTGAAGATTGGGGTTCGCTCCCAGGGGGAGCCCCCTGAGAACTGCAGAACGTGTTCCACGTGGGTTCCGTCTTTACCTGTTGCTGCTCTGCCAGTGCTGCAAGACGGGGTGATGAAGGGCAGCTGCTGCAGAGGTTGATCGGACGTGCTGAGAGTTTTGGAGAGGTGAGAAGTGTGTGGGTTCAGGCTTTGGAAAACAACAGTATATTGATCACAGAGGCCAACTGCAATATTTCTCTACCAACATGGGAACAGAAGTCAGATCCTGACAATGTGTCTGGGAAAAAAAATGAATAAACCACATTCTGTGGAAGACTGGCTCTTCATCTGTGTCTGGAAAACAAATTTCATTTGCTATCAAGACTTAAGAGAGCCTCTAAAATATGCCTAAATAGTGGCTTGATAGAAGCTTGGATTGTTTGTCCTCAACCAGAGCTTAGTAGCTGAAGGCTTGTGGGACTATTTTGTGCTATTGGAATAGTTGAGAGGCAGCAGAGTCAGGTTCCTGGCAGTGGTAGATAATGTACAAATACGACAAAAACAGGAGTCCAGAAGGCTGCTTCCTAGAAGCGTCTAACCTCTCCTGGGTGTTACGTGGTTGAACTTGGAGTATCTTATGAGCGTTTGAACTTCAGCCCTAGGGATGAGACAGGTAAGCCTCTGCAAACAGCAGTGGTGCTTCACGGTACCTCAGCACTGGTGTGTTGCTGTTGAAGGTGCAGGAGGAGGTTCCTGGTGTGAAGCTTTATTAGAAGGTTCACAAGCTTGCAGGATGTTGTCCCTGGATTATTCTTCTTGTTTTTTGAGGTTTGGTTTGCTTTGAGCCTAGGGTCGGGTCTGTCCCGTGACTGATTCACAGCATTGCTCCCCCGGCGCTGGCTGAGGAGCAAGTTAATGCTGAAGTTTTTACAGCACCTCCTTTAGCTGTGACTGTCAACCAAATGTTGCAGGCAAGGCAGGAAATTGAGAAGCTCCTGGGGAGTGAAATGCCTTCCTGTGTGTTATCCACCAAATTTTAAAATGCTTTAAAAGTGTTGGGGTGTATTTCATTAAATGCTGTGTCACTTTTCTCACTCACAGGGCTCGCTGCACCCTGACTTGTAGGACTGTTGCATTCAGATGACTTCGGAGCATATGACTCACAAGATTTCTTCCCACGTCCTGGGCGATGTGAAAGTTGTGGTGAGGTCTCGTTGCAGAACTCCCCTCCTGTGTCTGGGGGCACATTTGAAGCTCTAGAGCTATCTTCAGCTCATGGATCAGGTGTGGGCAGATCTGTTGCTGCCTTTTCGGCTGCTTTTAGGGTGTTATGCAGCAGAGCTGCAGGGTAACTTTAGGGAGTCAGATAATTGATGTACAAAAATATACTTTTATTTTTTTTTAAAGAACAAAAAGATGCTGCAGTCTTCAACCCTCAGCAGAGAGCATGTTTAAACAAACAAAACTGAAAAACAGAGCCGTTCGGGACCAGTTCTTGGGGCTTTTTTTTGTGTGCGCGTGTTTGCTTTTCTCTTTAGATTAAACCACTTGTGCTCCCTGCTCCCGTTAAAAGATTTGCATTTCAGGCCACTCGTCGCATCCCACCCATAGCTTTGGTGGCGGTGTCTGAGGGTGTGTGATCGCTGCGGGTGCAAGGGGCTGGTGGCCAGAGCTTGCCCTCTGGGATGCACAGGAGGGACCCTGCCCGTCGCCCCGAGGCGCAGGCGTACGCGTCGGGCGCTGCGGCCACTTGCAGCAGGCAGAGCTGGGTGCCGAGAGATGTTGCGGGCCAGGGATTGGACTTGGGCCATGGAAAGATGTGTGTTAGCTGGATGAGACGGGGTGTGTGGGAGCAGGTGCTTAGATGTGGTGAAGGAAGCAATTCTTTGTACTTGTCTCCCTCAAGAAGTTTGTGTTCAGATGATCTTAGGGCCCCAGGATTTGGGAAATCCGGTTTTCATGGTGAAAAGGAAAGCACTGATGTTTGGAAATGCCCTTTAGCACTGAAAACCTTCGGTTCGCTGGTGACATTTCCAGGATCATATGATTTGAAAACTCAGCGTTTGCATACCCAAGTTAGTTAAAATGGATTTGAGAAGCAGGCTGGGTAGACTTGCTCCTGGGGGTTAAACATCGGCTTGCGTGAACAGCAGTCGGACCGTTGGTGATCTGCACACAGTGAGTGGGCTACTAACTGAATATTAAAAAAAAAAAAAAAAAAGGTACTTAGGTGCAAATGGGTGGGTTATGTGGGCTACACAGCTTGGTTGTCTTCTGGTGGCACTGTAGTGAGGTGACAGGTCTTGGTTACGGGCATCAGGGAAAGGGGTTGCTCCGTGAGAGGAACAGACTTAGCTGCTGGCAGCTTTACCAGGAGGTGGGTTTTTCTTCTTGGTGGAGACGTTCCAGGGAAGCTAATCTGTACAGAAGCTGGTGCATATGAGCTGCACCGAAAGAAGGTGGAGCTGGCTCTACTTCCAGTTTGCTCTCTATCCTGTTAAAACCTCAGGGTTTAGAAGTATTCATCGTGTAGACGGGCCGGAGGCAGCCCAGAGGAGCCATGACCTGCGCCGAACAGTTCCCCCTTACCGTCATCGTTTGAACATCGTAGCCTTTCCTCTTGCCTTTCTTATCTTGACTGTGGCTTTTCTCCTCGTGGCTTTGATCAAGGTGTTTTTCTGGCCTGCTATGGTTTCCCTGCCTGGGAGAAATAACTGTCTTATCTGGCTGCAAAGTCTAAATACGCAGGACTGAGCTGGGGGACCCTTTTGCTCCTTGTCCTCTGCTTGCTCCTGCTGGGCACGTCTTCTGGATGGAGAGCACTGGTCCGGCCTGGTGTCTACAGTCTTGGAGAGAGTTTTGAAACCCCCGTTGCCCTTTGGATGATATGAGCTGGATCACTTGTTGCAGTGCCTGAAGAGGGGCAAGGGGGATATTTTTCTGGTGTGTTTTGTATCAGCTGGGCGGCGTGCAGGACCCTGCAGCACCACCGTGGTCTCTGCCTCGGAGCAGAGAAGAAGCACTTAGCTTCGAGGAACCAGCTCATCTGGCTGCACGTGTTTGAATTCTGGAGTCCTAGTGCATAACTCATTCTTCGGAGCCAACTTTCCACAAACAGGGTTTGTTTTTCTTCAATTTGAGTAATCTCTACAAACTCGGCCCCTTATATCCTGGATCTGCTGAGAAGCTAAGGATACAAAATATTGTTGAGAAGAGACTTCTGATTTATTTGCTCATGTCTAACTGTGGCAGCAGAGGGGATATTGATAGTAAACCTAATGTCCTGGAGACTTTTTTTTTTTTAAATGAGAACAAGAAATGTATCCCTAAGGACTGGGCTCAGAAATTGCAGCTGTCCAGAAAAAAAACAAACCCAACAGTGTGTGGTTCAAACCAACTGTTTGGGTCTTGATTCTGACTCTGAGTTTGTGGCGTTTCTGCTGGAACATTGGGTTTGGGTTCAGTGAGCTGTTGACAGTTGTGGAGCAGGCTGCGTGGTGATGAGCTGAGCCTGCAGGGAGCAGGGGAAGGGACGGGCTTGGCTGTACACCACGGTTCATGTTCAGCTGGGTATGAAATTGGAACTGGAGTGCGCTGCAGATGTTATCTTTGGATTTCAGCTACTTCCTCACTAACCGTATCCATGAAAATCTTGCTGCTTTTCCTTTGTATTTGCTGAATGGCGTAAGTCAGATATTAAAGCAGTGACTTTAGGTTCCACCCTGAGATGGACCCCGACAAGCAAATGCCAGATAACTTGTAATAGAAAAGCGTGTGTTTCCTGGTGGACGGCAGGGTGGTGATTCCCTTTCAGCCCTGAATACATGGTGCTGCCTGTATCTGTCAGATGTGGAGCACAAAAAGCCTCAGTATAAATGCTCCCAGGACACAGGGAGTGAGGGCAGTTTTATTCCAATACTCAGAATGGACCTTTTTCCTCTGGACTTAAAAATAAACAACGTTTTGGCTGAACAAATGGAACCGACCTTTTTATTAAGAGCATATATCTTCTCATGCCTGGTTCAGTAAGAGGCTTTTAAAATTGAAAGAACTCCTTAACTTGCAAAACAGCTGACTTAAGTCATTCCACTGGCATTTATCATCTTACTTTTTGCTCCTTAAAGTTGGAGAGCTTGTAGCCTTTTCTTTTTTTAAAGGAGAGCAAGAAGAAAAGTGGTTCTAACCCTGTGCGCTCTTTGCACAGATGGAAAGAGAGGCTGAGTCAAGGCAATGCTGAGTTTAAGTTCTTTCTTAAGTTGATGGAAAGATTCCCATTTGTTTCAGTGGGGATTGACCTGCTCACAAGTTTAAGCTTATTCCTGTTCAGATGCAGAGGAAGGATTACAGATAGTTATCAAGAGCAGCTTTAGTAAAGGGATTACAAACTTTCCTGCTAGAAATTAGAAAATGTTCCGTAACTTGAGGGGATGCTGCTGAAGATGGTGTCTGGTGATGAGACACCGGTGAAGCGTGTGCTCTCTTGAACACGTTCACCACGAAGGGACCCGTCCTGACAGACGAAGCCCTTGGTTGTGTAAGAGTTGCGACACGAAAGAACACTTGTGCTTTTTGTTTTCTTCCTCTGTAGTCTGGCCAAGCCTCCAACCAGGAACAAGCCCTTATTTTCTTTAGCTATTTTAGTTTGATTTTAGGCTTAGCTGAACCTGACGAAACTGCAGTTTCATGGGAATGTTTGACTCCTGTTGTGCACAGAGATCTTGAAACAAAACAAAAAAAGAAGTGTTGCCTTGGATGGAATGGCGAAGGTTTGTTTGCCTGCTTGTACCTCCAGGAGACAGAGATTGAAGATTTCCCCCCACCCCCCATCCCCTAAATTAAACAAACCTAATTCTTTTCATATTTCTTCTTTGTTACGTTTTAGGGTTGCGGTTATTTATGGTTGTTTTTTCTCTTTTAACCTTTTAGTCGCTTTCAATTGAACTTCAGTGGGTTTGTTTCTCTCTTGAAATCCAGCCACCAGGATGAAGCTCCATTCCAGCTACGATCCCAGCAGTGCTGGTGCGCAGGGATTACTGTGCGTGCCTTACATAAGGCAGTCCTGTTTACAGACACAAGGATTTTGGTCTTTACCAGCAGTACGATGTCGTTGGCTTGCGTTCAGCTTGTGACTAATTGTAACCCCAGCTCTTTATTTCTGCAGAGCTGCCTCTTAGGGACCAGGCTAAAGGAGATTGGAGGAAATGGGATTTTTCTGAATCTGCAAAGCATGCCTGGGTTTGGGATTGAGAGAACCCCTGCCAGGGAGGAACACGGCTGTTGCTGGCAGCTTGGGTGAGCTGCTGCCTTCCCTCAAAGGCAGAGATCTCTCCCATCTGCACGTGGCTCCTCGGAGCCAGCTCCTGATTTGTCATGTTGGGCTTTTTCTCTGCATCTTCCCCCTGAGTCTTGCGTTTGCTGTTTTGTTTCTTGTGTTCTCTTTGCTGGGTAAGTTGCGGAGGTGCTGAAAACGTGATGCTGTGCTTTGCTGTTTGCGCGTGGCTGCTACAAAAATCACGATTGGTCTGAAGAGTTAGAAAGGGAGAGGAGGAAAACCGGCCCTCTGCCCTTTCTGTCGAGCTCTGGGAGGATTTTCATGCTTTTGGGTGGTTAATACCCGCGTGTTCACCGTTGGGACACACCACGTGGGATGTGGAAACGGAAGCATGTGCGTTTCTGTAAAGAAATTTTTTAAAATGTAAAATGAAATGGGAGGCGGGGGGGAGCCTTTTGAGTTTGGTGGACAGGCTGCAAAGGACTAAGCAAGCACCCGAATGCAGCCGAGAGAAGGGCCTCCCTGAACTGAGCCACGCTGGGTGGTTTAAGTGCTGCGTTCAGGTGAAGGTTGGCAACTTCTGCGGAGTGTATGAACCTAAGTTCTTCAGGTCAGCCGTAGCCAGAACGACGGGGGCCTGTAAGGTTTCTGGTTGCCTTCCTCATCTCCGCATTGGCACGTTTGGTTTGAAAGGCTTCATCAGGTTAAAGGGTGGGTACCGGGAATTCGCTCTGGGAAAGGCAAATTTGCAGCTCTGACACTAAATTATGTAAGTAGGACACTCGAAGCCTTAATTTTACGGTAAGGCAGCCTCACAAAGCCTCTTCAAGGGGACAGAAGAGCAGCAAACCCCGTGGCTGTTGGGGCCCTGGGGTGCTGCCAGCCCGGGGGGGCCCGTCCCTCGGTCGGGTGTTCTGGGGTACCGGGTCTCACCCTGGCGCCGTTCCCGCAGGTCTCAGTGCGGCCGGTGCCGGTCCCGGGGCAGAGGGCCCTGGAGCTGCCATGACGACGGGCGACTGCTGCCACCTCCCCGGCTCCCTCTGCGACTGCCCGGGAAGCGCCGCGCTCTCCAAGTCCGTGGAGGACTCGGACATCGGTCGCCCGCAGTACGTCACGCAGGTCACCGCCAAGGATGGGCGGCTCCTCTCCACGGTGATCAAGGCGCTGGGCGCGCAGAGGTAAGGCTGCTTCGGGGAGGGGGCTCGGGGTTACTGCATCTGGGCTTTTTTCCCCCCTTTTTATTGTGGCTCTAGGGGTAGATGGAGATGACGACGACAACGTCTTGTTTGTGAAGGAGTTCGCTGGGGCACCGAGTGTAAATCCTCCTTAGCCAGATGTCTCCCAGGCCTGCGCTCTCTTTGCGGGAGCTCGTGCGTTGGTGGGTGCCGGTGGATCGGGACGCGTGTTCACCAAACGCAGCCCCTCACCGCGTGGCTCTGCCAGGGCCTCGCTGAGCAGCGGTGGAGGTGAGATGCGGTGCTGGCGAGGGCGGCGTGCTGTTCGTGGAGATGTTTGAGGGCTGAAAGTGGAGCACGGCCCCTGTTCCGTGATGCCCAGGGAGTAGAGGCATGGTGTTGACTTGCGGGCCCGGGGAAAGGAGGGTGTTTGTGTTGTGGGAACTGCAGTGTCCAGCTCCTGCTAGAGGGGATGTGTGGCACCTTCACTTGCTCAGTCTCCTCCTCGTGGGCCTTACCACGGATTCCGAGCAGCTTCCAGAGCAGAGGACACTTGGCGACATTCTTCAGTCCAGCGAGCGAGACTGGTCACATCTTGTGTTCAAACCCTGTCTCAACAGCTGTTATATTTTTCAATTAATTTGGCCAAATGTTGATGAGGTGTGAAAGTGGTGACTGCAAACATGGGGGAGGAAGGCAGGAAAGCTAGATTAGAACAGAAGCAAACGTAATTGCTATCTCTAGCAAACCTGGTCAATAGAAAAGCAAGGGGAACTGAATTTGCTGCCTGACGACAGATAGGCTAGGCAAGAAGTTGTGCAACACCTTAAAACTTGTGGAGGTGTAAAAACCATGTAGGAACTGCCTGGGATTACAGATTAAAAAAACCCCAACAGAATTCCTCGTGTGGGACACCTGTGTATTCAGTTTGGTGGTGGAGGCTTTCAGTCTCTTTCTTGTCACCAGCGCTTAGCAAGGCAAAGCCAGGAGCAGCGTGACTGTACCGGAAGGTTGAATTACTGATGCAGCCTGCTGGAAAACTCTGTTTGAGGGTGTATTGTGTGGGAGTGTGGCCAGGCCCCCTCCCCCTCTGCATAGGAAGGAAGGAAAATGGAGTCTGATAAGAATTTTTTTTTTTTTTTTTTTTTTTCTCGCACTGTCAGCAAATTTTTTCCTTCTGGATTGTTTATTGGTAGCCAAGGTTATATTAATGCACTGGAAATATGAAACTTCTCGAACAGGAAGAGAAGGGATGAAATACCTTACAGATGCTTTTCTTAGGAAATAACAGATGTACGAGAGCACTGGAGGCTTGGGGTTTTCTTGGTCTGTCCCTGTCGCTAAAGCTGTGTAAGCAGACTGTAATTTTGTTGTTCTGATACAGCACCGAGCTTTACGGCAGTAATGGTTATAGAACCATCCAGTAACTCAGATTGGAAGGAAATTCTGGAGAACATCTGGTCCAGCCTCCTTTCAGAACAAGGCCAACTTCAAATATAGATCAGACTGCTCAGCCTTGTCTACTGCAGTGTTCAGCATCTCTGAGGATGGAGTCTTCACCTCTCCGGATTCCCGTTTCGGGGATTAGCCCAGCTGAAGAAGGCCCCTCAATAATGAGGCGAGAACAAGGGGTAGTGGTTCACCAGTGATGCTTGGCAGAGAGAAGGGCACGGGTGAAGTGGATGTACATCACTTCACAGCCCTAACTATGATTTTAAAAGTCCAGCTGGGATGAAACCTGCTCAACATTGAGTTGGAAGTGGTAGATACCTCCTATGGCTCACCAGGAGAGGCGTCTTGCTTCTCCTTTAGTGGACTGATGTTCACTTTCTTGCTGGCTCTTCTCTTCCCTTCGTGTCCCACCAACATTTTTCACCACCGTGCTCCTTTTCCTTGCGCTGTGTTTCCATGTCTCGCCCTTGCTTTCTGTTTTCTCTGGTTGCGCAGACTAATGGAAGTAGCGCTGCTGCTTTTGAAGGTCGCACATTGCTTGTTCTGACTGTTGTGTTGCAATCCCACAAACTTCTGCAGTCAGGTGTGGTTTTTTAAAGGCAGAATAGCAGTGGAGTATGAACTCTGAGATGGGATCAGGGTGGGTGTCAGCAATATGTGGAAAAGGGCGATAGCTGATACAGCTCACCCGGATTTCAGGAAGGCGTGCAATAGGGTCTTTGAAATAAAGATGTTCTTTTCTCACCCTCTCTCCCAGCCCCAAATCTGTGCCACTGTGGATATAAGAGAATGGCTGTTTTGTGAAAGAAATGGCTGGTTGGAAGGAGGTGAGATACTGGCAAGTGGCTTGTTTTCATGGTCTAGGGAGGGGAGCTCTGCACCGGGCCTCTGCTGTCCAGCGTTTTATTCCTGAGTGATCCTGATGAACAGCGAACGCTGAAGAGATGTACTGAATCGCTGAGGATAGTGAACTTCGGTGTCCAGAGCCACTTGAGGTTTCCCAGGGAGCCCAAGACATCCTCATTATGGGGCTGGCGGATGTGGCACAGGGTTTCTAGGTAACCTGTGCCTTCAGATGCCAGCTGGGATGCCCTTGGACCTAAAATGGCACTAGGTGCCTGAGTTTAGGGAACTTTATTGGAAATGAATGTTACTGGAAATGGCTGCAGGCGAAAATAATGGTTGCAGGTCAGTGTGCAGTGTTGCAGATGAACAGTAGTCCGAGATTTACATTCTGCATTTGTGGGTTTGGAGGAAGGAGGTCTTGGGCATGTGGCAGTTACATGCAGCAGTGACCAAAAGGCAGATAAGGTGCTAAGATTTAGGAAAGCAATGAAAACCAGAACATGGTCACTGCAAAAAATCCCTGGTGTGCTCGCATCTTGAAAACTGTAGCTCTGGTCCCTGCAGCTCTAAAATGATGTTTCAGAAATGCAAGCAGCAGAGGGAAGGGTAGTGAAGGGGATTGGAAGGGCGGGTGTGTTTCTGCCTAACCTATGACTAGGCTAGGACCCTTCTGCTCCTAAAAGAGGTGACTGAGCAGGCTGTGGTGGAGGTCTGTAAATCGGGAGGGGTGTGGAAAACATCGTCTTTTACAGGACAAGAATTAGGGGACAGTCCACAAAAGCAGAGGAGAGGTTTCGGGTGAAAAAGAACTTGGCTGTTTGTGCAGCTAGAGAAAGTCCTCGCTACATGAGGACACCGGATGCTCTGGGTTTATGTAGGTGCAAAAAAATTGCTTCAGTCTGTGATGGAAATTTGTGTCATGAATATAGTCTGATACAACTGAGCTAACAGTTGCTGGATGTTGGAGCAGTAGCACTAATTGTCCACAGTCAGTGGTGCCAGTTAAAGCTGTGAGGGAACATCTCGGGAACAAATGGATGGTTTGAGCGCAGTCAGCGGTGCAGGTCTCGTGAGGAAGGTTGCAAGTGTCCCTGAAAGCGTTTGGTACTTCCCTTGATAAGCATCTCTGGTTCTGTGAGGTCTAAAGAGAGCAGATCTTGAGCATGATCAAAGGGACCTGATTCTGTAGTTGCAGCTTCTAGTCGAGCGGGGAGTGAGAAGTGGTGGTTGCTGAAGCACCAAGGCAGGTTTGCAGCCGGTTGAAGGCCTGAATGCTGCGGAGTGGTTCTCTGCCTGGTGGCGTGCAGATAGGATGCTGAGTGTTAGTTACTGCAGCGTGATGGGCAGAGGGTTTGTACGCCGAGAACTCGGTCTGCGTGACTGTTTACCGTGGAACGTGTGGCGTGTGCTTGGAGAGCTGAGCTTACAGGGTCAGTGTGGTTCTGTCTTTAGACACTGCTGTTCCTTACGCGGCTACTGCTAAACTCGGGATGAGGGGCGGGGATGGGGCGAGAGTGAATAGGTGGTCTAACAAATGCGACTGTGATCGCAAACCTCTTGAGGGCCTCCAGGTGGCTGGGGCGTGCTGGGGCTAGTGTGGGTCAGCCGGCTTCGCTTTGGGCTTCCGGATTCACATAAGTGCTTCGGGGTTGGTTTTGGGGTTCAGTGTCAGCCCCTCCGCCTGCTGTGAGCAGAGCTGGAAATTGTGGGATGCGCGTGCTGCGGTCGCTTCTCCTGGGTGTTGTGGTGCTCACCAACACGGCTTCCGGATTTTGCTGACCTAAAATGTCCCAGGCATCTCCACGCTCCCCTGCGACTGGTTTCTTGCTGCAGCCGGCTGCTCTGGGGGGTGGCGGCGTGCCTGGCATGCTCTGCCACGCGCTGCCTGCTGTGCGTGTGCCCTTCGGGGGCTCGGTGGGCTCGGACCCCCTTCTCCGATGTGGCTGTATCGTTCTGCCTGCTCTGATGGTGATTTCATTCTGTTTGTCTGCCTCTTTAGTGACGGTCCCATCTGTCGAATCTGTCACGAAGGTGGAAATGGGGAGGGACTGCTTTCCCCGTGTGACTGCACAGGAACACTGGGCACCGTGCACAAGAGCTGCCTGGAAAAATGGTTATCCTCCTCCAACACAAGTTACTGTGAGCTCTGCCACACAGAATTTGTTGTAGAGAGAAGACCGAGACCTTTGACAGAGGTACCGCTTTCTTCCTGCTTCACTTTTATTTCCTTGCCATTTGAGAGAAAATGACTGATTTGCCCTTCTGTCCTTGTGGTTCTTGCTGCCTCTTCCTCCTTGTAGTACTTCAACACTCCAAAGAACAATTTGTTTAGAGCGACCGAGTCTCTTATCAGACCAAGGGACACAGTTGCAAAAGACGCGGTAGGGATGTTTGGGGGCAACTCTTGCCTGTGAACCCCCCGCGCGCTGCCCGCCAATGGCAGGTGGCAGGACTGTGGAAACCATTGCCCTTGTAGATAAACTTGAATGCCCAAGTGTTGAAATGCAGAGATCACCATGTGACCAACTGAAATACGAAGCTCTTGGAAATATTCTTTTTTTTCCTGTTAGTTTTAATCTTATCCCGCAGTGCTGCGTTAGTGCAGCTCTCTCGCATGTGACTTCCTCCGCGCGCTCCGCTCTGAACAGCGAGGTGTGGCCATTGCTGATAGTGTTCGTAAGACCCGCGCTCCCTTGACTAACACTGACGTGTGCTTCAAAGCCTTTGGGTTTTGCTGCTTCCTGCTGAGCCTGGTGCCCTGCTGCTGCCGGGTTCCCCCAGTCGGAGGAAGCAGGACACGGCTCAGCCAGTCCTCGTGTTCCTCTCCGCGTTGGCTGCCGGGGGACCAGGATCCTGAGGGGTCCGTCAGCCTCCCAGAGCTGGAAGGAACAATCTGGGCTCTGGCTGATGGGTTGATTTGGGATTTCTTGGGGGTTTTTGTCACAAGGCTCTCTTCCCTCCCCTGTTTAGGCAGTCTGCTGTGCTCACATTTCAGACTGCCTTTGACCCCCAGAGTTTATAGTAGCTGCCTGTAATGAAGCCTTTGAACGTGGGGAGCAAGGGCAGCTTGGACCAGGCCATCTTCTGACCTCAGAACTCAAGTGTACGTCCCCGAAGAGGGATGAGTAAATCAATGAGCTGCGGTACAAAAGGCTGTAACGGCTTGTTTTAGAAGATGGTTTAATCTGTCCAAACACGTGTGGGTTGCGTTGGCAGGTGAGCAGGTTCTGACAGCGCTGCAGGACGGCGCGGGGGGGTGTTGCTGGCACACGTGAGGTCCAGCCTGGAAGATCAAAGCAAGGCCCCACAGCCCTTGGTGCCCACACCCCGTGCGGATCCCCTCGCTGCCTGAGAAGCTGCAGGCAGTCTCTTCCCTGTGTCACCGTGCTGCTGGGTTGGGCTTGGGTGTTCGTTCAGCACGATGTGCCACTGCAGAGAGGCATCAGTCTGCAGGTGGGGATTTACAATTCATTTTGGGAGCCCCTCCAGGCCTGCAGCCATCAGCAGTAAGAGAAGTGGGAAAGCACGATCTGGAGCCCCCACTGCGAATCCTGCGCTTCTGTGCGTGCATCCTGGCCCTGTGAGGTTTTTCATTGTGTCCTTCCCTGGCTGTGTTTGGACTATGGCACAAAGCTCTGTTTTTTGTTTCAAAAGTTACTTTTCCTGTTGATAGCATTTCAGAGCGATGCAAAACATCTTCCACAGAAAGGAGGTCTGTGAGCTGGTTCTTAACAACAGCCTATTGGAGCTTTGCTGGGGTCTGTCACCAGAAGTGTGTGTGGGGGGGGTTAATTCTGGCTTGTGACTGTGACTGCTCTCCTTTCCCTTGCTCCATCAGTTAGATTAAAACCAAGTCACAACTGGAATTCTAAGTTGTTTTTCCCATCTCTGTTCCCATTCCCATCAATTCTAGAGGTTATTTCCTTTCCCACCTCCCTCTGGAAATGATACCAGCCCCCTCCTCCTTCCAGCAGTCCCCAGCTCTCCTTCCATTCCCATCTCCTCTGGGTGCCCCACAAGCCTTGGAGGGGAAAAGAGCCCCCCCAGCTGGGAAAGCGTTCAAGCTTCAGTTGGCAAAATTGATATTCGGTTTTAATGATTGTTTAATTTGCAACTGACTGTCTGTCATAGACCTGACAGCCCCAGACAGGAGAAGGCTTTAGACTACAGTGCTAAACCAAACCATGTATTTAGCAAAGCAGTTTGTAAAAGAGCATTGCTTCAGTGGTTAGTGCTGTCTGGTTTAACCCCAGCCTCAGTGGTTAGTGCTGTCTGGTTTAACCCCAGCTGGCAACTAAGTACCACCCAGCCGCTCGCTCACTCTCCCCCAGTGGGATGGGGGAGAGAATCAGAAGAGTAAAAGTGAGAAACTTGTGGGTTGCAGTAAAGATGGTTTAATAGGTAAAGTAAAAACTGTGCGTGCAAGTAAAGTGGAACGAGGGATTGTTTCACTACTTCCCATTGGGATGCAGGTGTTCAGCTCTCTCCAGGAAAGCCAGGCTCCATCACACGTCCTTGGGAATCTTCCCTTACCTGGGAAGACAAAAGGCCCTCACTCTGAACCTCCCCCCTTCCTTCTGCTTCGCCCAGCTTTTTATTGCTGCGCATGACATCGTATGGTCCGGAATATCCCCTCGGTCAGTTGGGGTCAGCTGTCCCAGCCGTGTCCTCTCCCAACTTCTTGTGCGCCCCCAGCCTGCTTGTTAGCCGGGTGATGCGAGAAGCAGAAAAGGCCGTGACTCTGCGTAAGGACTGTCAGCAACAATGAAAACATCCCCCTGTTATCAACGCTGTTTTCAGCACAAATCCAAAACAGCCCCATGCCAGCTACTGTGGAAAAAATTAACTCAATCCCAACCAAAACTGGTGCACTTTAGTCTTGCCGCTTTTCTCCTAGCTGCTAAAACATCTAAAATGGCTCTTTAACCAACGACTCTCAAATGGTTGTTTCGGAGGTTGAAAACCACAGCTTTAAGGCATTTGGGACGGGCTGTATCTTGGCTTTGAGGACACGCTGCAGGCAAGCCCAGTAACAGTGAGATTGCTTAGGGCTTATGCGGGCCAAAAATTCGAGTGCAGGTTTCAGCTGTTTTAGCTTAAGAGCTAGTAAAGCATTCATGACCAGAAACAAACACGTGGAAGTGTGTTTAGCTATAGCTCACAGATGCTGTAGCACCTCGTAACAAGTACAGACTTAGAAAACTGCATACTTGAATAAAAGCTGGAAGACCAGTGTATACTGGACGGGTTTCTCCTCTGACCTGGACGTCTGTGCCTCTCCAGCAGGCGAGAGTAGCATTCTGGGACAATGTGACAGGAAAGTCATGGGTCGTCTTGTCTGTACTCCAAGGTGGGTGAGTGGCCCAGGACAATCAAATTTTAATTCCTGTTGAAATCCCCTCTGAACTGGAGCCTGTAAGGGTATGGTGACCAACAAGCAATCTGTGAGCACCGAGGGGTCGCGGGTGGGCAGCATTTAATGAGCCTCAAATGCAAAAGAATTGCCACCGTGTCTTCAGAGAAGAACAGACCCCTCGAGCTGTTCCTGATAGTTGTCAAAAGCTTCGGGATGTGAAGTAATTGTTTGGGGACTGTGAGCACAGCAAAGGGGGTGATCTGCCCTGTTCCGCTGTCTCCTGTGCCTGCTAGGGGAACAGCTTGTGGAAAGCGCTGTTAGTGCCGTGTGAGTTTGGGGGCTGGTAAGCACTCGGTGGAAAGTCACCCCGTAGCTGGTGAGAGCGGTCTCTGCCGTGGAGCAGAGTCTGGCCATGCAGGTCGCCATCGTCGTACAGCCCTAGAGTGGTTCCCTTACCTGCAGTGCACTGGCAGAAAGCTCCTGCCCCGGCCTGAGGAGCACCCCGTAGCCTGTGGTTTAAACAAATCCCACGGTAGCAGCCTGCTCTTGCTCTTCGCTGGGGGCCAGCCCCCCACTTCCCCACCACGCCATGGAGTGCTGAGAGTCCAGTATGAACTGCCGGGGTTCCAGCCCCCACCCCAAATTCAGGCTGACATCAGGGTGATCCCTCAGCCCTTCCCAAAGGGGGGAGTTTCCCTTTCGGCTCCCCCCAGGGTGGGGCCTGGCAGACAGAGCGTTGGGTAAAGGAGCCCCGGGGGTCCCGCAGTCAGTAACCCAAGGTCGGGTGTCCCCCGAGGGATAACAGCGGGGACCCCTGGCAGGAGGGGCAGGGTCTGTGTGAGGGGGACGCCCTGGGCAGAGTTCCCTGCTGGGGAAGGACCTCCCGCCTCCCCGGGACTGGGCTCCGGGCAGGTCTGGCTTTTGTAAACGCGGGCTGTGGGAGATCCAGTCTGGGGCTTCCTTGGTCTGAAGTGTTTGGCTTGTTGACCCGGTTGTCTCCCGTCCCTTCCATGGGAGACTGCATGTCACCATTTATTGCACCCGCTGCTGGTCGTGCGGTGTCGCTGTTGGGGTCAGTGGGGTTGATGTCCATTATGTACAATCTGACTGACTTGTCTGTACCCCCAGCGCTCACCATGGACTGACCCTTTGTATCAAATACAATCTGGTTATTGGTTCATCTTCGTGCTGGCTGTGTCCTTTAGGCCAGGCCTAATAATTGGCAAAACGCAGTACCAGCCGCCCGGAGCGGCGCGGTTTGGCCGCTCGGTGTGTGCTGTGCACTGGGCACGGGCGGGGGGCTCACCTGGCTGGGAAGACCCCCTGTTTTTGTTGTACTATTTCCACCACACTGTAAAACATTCCGATTCCTGCCTGGAGTCTGGGAAGAACATCGTGGAGTTCACCTTCTCCTTTTCCTTGGGAATCGTTACGATGCTCTGAGCTTCTGTGCTTGCCAGGAGTGCCGGTGAGTGTGCTTCGCCGTGTGACGTTTGCTCGGGCTGTGTGTTCCCTTAGAGGCCAGCTTACAGACCTTGGCTGCTGTCAGAAGTGCACCTGCTGTTAGCAGAGGTTCTGCCCTTAGAGCAGAGCCCTTCTGAAAGAGCTGATGACTGCTTGTTGGCTTGCTGGCACTTTCCATTAATACCCTTTGTCTGCAGTCTGGTGTAATCTTAACCCCATACCAGATTGGGCCAAAACTCTTCACCAAATACTTTTGGGAAGTGTCATCCCCAAGTTGTTCATCTGTTTCTGAGAAGAGGGCTAGGGAAAGAGGCTGCTTAGTCATTTAAAAATGACACAGTTCCCTCAGCTGCCTTATCTGAGAAATTCTCTGCT